ATAAACGAGATAAGAGTAGAATTTTGGGAGAGATTTGATAAGTTAAAAGGAGGTATTGAACGCCATATTTCAGGATCGATTCGAACATAACTTGTGGGTATATCTGAATCTTCATAATAGGAAGAATAAATATCAAATGAATCATCATCATTATGACAATGAGGACAATGAATTTTAGGCTCTAAAGTAAGTTTTATGTTTTTTGGCCTCTTCTTAAGGTTTTGTTCTGGTGTATAAGCAAAATCAACATTGAAGAAGGCATCTGCCGATTCAAGCTCTGTGGAAGATGAGCTGTCTAGCATTATTTGTTTCCAAATACATGGTATGTCGCAATGTTCTAAGGTTCCATCCTGGTTATATGTGAGTCTTGTGAAATCTTCATCGAGATACCATCTTCCAGAAGTTATATAAAGTTTCACCGTTTTATTGTCATTGAGATATCGGGTTACATAATGTCTTTGTTTCCATTCTACCAAGCTTGTAGGTTTAGTCTTAAGCTTATCCATTAATGATGTGATGTTTTCTTTAATTAAGCTATCAATAAACTCATTAAATTCATCAGGCTCATTAGTCGACGTTTTTATAGTTGTTGACAATAAAAGAATGATGGAGAAAAATATAATTATCGCATAGAGGATATATAATTTAAAACTTGATAATTTCATCGTATATATTTTGTAATATGTGTATACAAACCAAAGGTGTTTATAAAATTACAAACGTTGTAACTTTAAGACTGTTGTTTGTTATTGATAAAGCGGACTTATGAGAACATTTATATTGAGTAATAAATTCATTTGAAGTAATTATAATGGGTTGTAAATAAGTTTTTTCTATTAACGCTAAGTAATTAACGCTAAGTAGTTAGCATATTATAATTAGTAATTTTGAAAATCTTAAACCAGATATATATGTTTCATTTGATTTGATTCGTCTTTTATAAATTGACAATCCGGGATTGTCGCGGTTCATAATGAAATCGGATTAAAATGAAATGAGAAATTTCTGTTTGATCCCTTAAGTCTCACTTATACTTATTGATTATAAATTCTGCACTTAAACCCTAATCCTAATCCTAAAAAAAATGCCAATCAATGCATCTCAAAAATTTGCATTTTTCGGTGGCTTGTCTATTTGACACTATCGTTTATTTTATTTTAATCTGTCACAATTTGTCATATAAAAAGAGTGTTATGCTTGATTTAGAAAATTTTTAATTCTCTCATTTCTCATAATTATATTATCCTGTTTTATTAACCTCCGAGACCTATGGGTATGGACTTATGGACTCCACCAGGAGCCTAAACACTCTTGCTGTAACGACATTCGTTGGCTTTTGTTATGTTTCCAACTAGGTTCGTGCGCATTATTTCACTGCGCAGAATTTTTGAGACTGCGTAGTGTGATTTTTAAAATTCAGGCTAACTAGCATAATTCCGGCCAGCTAGTATAATTCTGGTCAGATTGCATAATGCTGCAGGCTGCGCAGTGGATTCAAAAAATTCTCGATTTGCCCATCCTAGTTATATGCCTTGAAAGATCTCTTTCTTCTTACTCGGGTTTTGTTTTGACGTTGGACAATGCATCCTGCAAAAGTATACATCGATAAAATTTTTTAAAGTTTGTTAAGTATACAATATTTGTCATACGTATGCCCAATATTGATGTTATCTGATAGTTAATATGGCCATGTGAAGTTTTTTTCGTGATATTTTGCAAAACTGATTACGTAATTTCATGCAAAAAATATCACGGCAAAAAAATTTACGTGATTATATGAAAAGTCGGATAAGGTTAAGGTTAACGTCTATATTACGGCTAAGTATTGCCATGTTTTATAGTAAACTTGCTCAAAGAAAACTTTTACTTAGTGCACCAAAGGAGGTTTATTATAGAGAATTTTGAGAAATAGGAGATTTTTGACCAAACAAATTTTGTTTTTTGGCGATATTGGGTAAGTTCTCGATTATTGGCTACGCTGGTGTTTTTTTTGCAAGACCAATAACTTATACTTATTGTGAAGCAGTTATTGACGACTGTATAACTTATGTCGTCATTTTAATTTGTTTGGATGAGACTCATCATTAAAATTTAGGCTATAAAATAAGGTAATTCTTGAAATTCTTGAATGTGTGACACAGCAAAATTTTTCAAAGTTCATTTATAATAGTTTATTAAAGTTAGAAGTTAGAATAGAATATTAGTAAAATTGCTTGAGAAAAACTTTTTATTAATGCAGTAATGCATGAAGTGTAGTTTTTTATGTAATTTCTCGATTGTTTATTTTGAATTTTCCAGCTCGTTTTACATTACATCTAGTTCAGAATTTCAGGCGATCTGCACCACAAACCTGGCACACATTCAAGGACTGCATGTATTAACATTGCTAATACAATAATAAGATTAAAGTCAACGAAAAAAAACCAGGCTTTGTACAATCTCAAACGTGGCTTGGCGTTTGTGCGTCAAATGAATCGATTGATACATTTTAAAAGGTACTCTTATTAGCATACAATAGAAATCAGACTTAAAGATTTTAAAGAAATTGAAATTCATAAGTTAGCAGTTTACAAAAAATTTAAATTTATTATGTAGTTCTGTTGTATTTGCAGTTCATATCCAAAAAGTAATGTAACTCAAGTTCTTGAAAGCCATTTCCTGAAATATAATTCCGACAAGTTAACTGGCATTAGCTTAATGTAGTTAATGTTTATATCTTTTCAAGAAAATACTGTGGCTTTCAAAAAAAAAACATACAATATAGTGTAACGACTTGAATTGATCAATGATGTATTTGACGTAAATTAAATCGATTGCGTATTTATTTGTTGTACATAATGAGTAAATGCAGTACGTAGACATAGCATATTTATTAAAAGTATCATAACGGGTATATCTAGCAGGGATACGTATTGTAAGGACGGATTTAGATAGAATTTATATAGAATTAATAAACGAATAGTAAAGTAACTACGACTGCAAAGCAC